AAGACCATGCCTTTTATGAAATTCAAGATCTTAGCCTTTATAAACTCAAAATCATTTTTTCCTTTCTAAATATTGTTCATCTAATGATAATAAAACCATCCAAAAAAATTGGAAATGAAAAAAAGTTCTTCTAAAGCCTCACATAAATAAATGGCTTATGTTAATTGGGCGAAAAAAATACTTTCTAAGATGCCTTTTCAATTTTTTCTTTTTTTTGTGATTGTTCATTAGAATGAAAAGAGTGTATATTTCAAAACTTGGATCAAATAAATGGCCATAGGATGGTATTTTAAGGTTGTTGCATCATATTACTATACAACAGTTGCATGAAATCATTGCCCTATATATATATATATATATAAAGATATTACAAAACTCTTATAGGTGAAAATGAACAGTGATTTCGCCTACCCTCATCACTATTCAAACTTCATCGTAGGATTACAGTTGTCTGGTAGTATTTCAATTTTCATTTTTTTTTTTTACTAATCGGAATGATCTGAATTTTGGAACATGTGTAAGTTTTAGTGAGGCCCACTTAATAAAATTATGAAAAAATAATTCGAAATATATAAATTGACCAAAATACCTCTATAAATTTTTGGGGATATTTTGGTTAATTTATATTTTGTGAATTATTTTTTTTATATTTTTATTAAGTGTGTCTCACTAAGATGTACACACGAATAATTTGGATTTGTAGAAAACTAATGAAAATTGAAACATTACGAAACAATTGTGATTGTATGATGAAGTTTGGATGGTGACGAGGGTAGACGAAATCGTTGTCTATATATATATATATATATAAGAAAAGTCTTCCTAACACTTATAGGCAAAAATGAACAGTGATTTCGCCTACCCTCATCATTGTCTAAAGTTCATCGCATGGTCACGATTGCCTGGTAGTGTGTTTCATTTTCATTTTGTTTCTACAAATCGATAATCTGAAATTTGGAGCGCGTGTACATCTTAGTGAGCTGCACTTAAGTAAAATATAAAAAAATAATTCGTGCAATGAAAATTGACCAAAATACCTTTTAAACCTTTTTGGGGTATTTTGGTCAATTTATTTCATGTAAAATATTTTTTTGATATTTTTCGTAGAGTTGCCTATTTTTTATGAAAACATATTCCAAATTTTAGATAATTCCGATTTGTAGAAAAAACATTAAAAATAAAACACTACTGGACAATCGTGATCATACGATGAACTTTGGACGGTGATGAGAGTAGGCGAAATCACTTTTCACCTAAAGGTGTTTTGTAGTATCTTCTATATATATATATATATAGTCACAATTTTTTTGTAGCATTTTAATTTTATTTTTTTTCTATAAATCGGAATAATCTGAAATTTGGAGCATGTGTACATCTTAGTAAGACGCACCTAATAAAAATATGGAAAAAAATATTTTATAAAATATAAATTGACCAAAATATCCCTATAAGGTTTAAGGGTATTTTGATCAATTTATATTTTGATAATTATTTTTTTATATTTTAATTAGATTCTTCTATTTTTGATGAACACAAGCTCCAAATTTTAGTTCATTATGATTTGTATAAAAAAAATGAAAATTGAAATACTACTGGATAACTGTGACCATGAGATGAACTTTGGACGGTGATGAACATAGAAGAAATCACTATTTATTTTCGCTTACAGGCGTTGCGTAGTGTTGAAATCCATTTTTTTTCTCATGTACATACATTTGGTGGTCGAGATTCTATTTATTGTTTAGAGCATCGTATGTACATAAACTTTTTCTATTTATATTATATGTATAGTTAGTTAGTTAAGAACCCTTAGAAATATAAAAGTTAATACTATAATGAGTTGTGATAGGTGTATTTATTAAAAACTTATTATTTTTTGTTTAAAAATTATTTTACTGTGTAATATAATCATTAAGTAAAGATAAATTTAATTTTTTTACAAAAGTACAATAGTATTTTGAAAACTAGTGTTCTCAAACTTTATTTATAGAGTACCATTGTCTTTTAATAAAAAAATTGACTTTACCCTTTATAAAGATAACAAAAATTATTATCTTTTAGTAATATTTACATTAGCACCCTTATTTGATGAATAAGATATCACAAAAAAGTAATTTTTTTATAAAAAAGAGAAAAAAGATAATATAATTTTGCAACCTTAAAATATAGAATTACATATGCACCTCAAAAATTCATCAGAGAAATTTGTTTTAATGCTGAAAAAAACCTCTGATTGATCATCTTGACATTGATATGTATGAATAAGGAAAAAATAAAAAATAAAAAATTATGAGTCCCTGAAATAGTGTATTTTGCAACACATTATCTAGACTGTCCATTTTTAAGACTTTTTTATGTTCATTGATTTACTTGATTTTGACTATTTTTGGAGTTTAAAATTTTATAATTAGATATGAAAATAAATTTTCAGATAATCCTAAGAATTTTTTATACCAAAATTACATGTTATGATAAAATTTGAAGAGGCCCCTTAATTGGATTATTTGAGACCTTATAGAAACCACACCAAAAAAAAATACATTGTCGGTAACTCAACCATTCATGACTCTTTCTAACATTATCTTTGTAATTTGAAGAGTTGTAGTCGTCGTCTCTCAAGGCACACAGGGGATAGG